TCAGAACAGGAAAATAAGAAAAGAATGTAACAGAGAGAGAGAGAGAGAGAGCGAGAGAGAGAGAGAGAGAGAAACAACAAAAAAACCTGCTGAATATTGGCTAAAGGTAAAGACAACCTGATTTTAAATGCAGGGAAAATGAGTAAAAAAAAAATCAAAACGAAATAGACTAAGAAAAAAAAAATGGTAATGTAATAAAAACAAAAGAGAGAGAAAAATCTATCCCTCTACTCATCAATAAAATAACATTGACAAGAATCCTTTAACCATTTAGAGGAGAACACTTTTGAGAAAAAATGAAACCCTAGGAACCTCCGTGTAAATAAATAAGTAAATTATACCTACTTGGTAAGAGTTTTCAAAAGAAACACACCAGCCAATATCTCCATAGATGCAGTCATGAAGAAGTTGAGAAAGCGATTCCCAGCAAGAGTATTGGAAGTCATGTAGATACCAAAATAGGTAAAACTGATCATTAACCTACAAATAAATAAATATATAAATATAAAGAAATGTCAATAAATATATATGTAAATATAAATAAAGATATAAATATAAATAAATATATAAATATAAATAAATATATAAATAAATATATAAATAAATATATATAAATATAAACAAATATATAAATAAATATAAATAAATATATAAATAAAAATAAATAATATATAAATAGATATATAAATATAAATAAATATATAAATAAAATAAATATATAAATAAATATGCATAAATATAAATAAATATATAAATATAAATAAATATATATAAGTATAAATAAAATATATAAATAAATATAAATAAATATATAAATATAAATAAATATATAATTATGAATAAATATATAAATATAAATAAATATATAAATAAATATATAAATAAATATATATAAATATAAACAAATATATAAATAAATATAAATAAATATATAAATAAAAATAAAAAATATATAAATAGATATATAAATATAAATAAATATATAAATAAAATAAATATATAAATAAATATGCATAAATATAAATAAATATATAAATATAAATAAATATATATAAGTATAAATAAATATATAAATAAATACATATAAGTTTAAATAAATATATAAATATAAATAAATATATAAATATGAATAAATTTATAAATAAATATAAATAAATATATAAATATAAATAAATATATAATTATGAATAAATATATAAATATAAATAAATATATAAATAAATATATAAATAAATATATATAAATATAAACAAATATATAAATAAATATAAATAAATATATAAAAAAAATAAATAATATATAAATAGATATATAAATATAAATAAAATATATAAATAAAATAAATATATAAATAAATATGCATAAATATAAATAAATATATAAATATAAATAAATATATATAAGTATAAATAAATATATAAATAAATATATATAAGTTTAAATAAATATATAAATATAAATAAATATATAAATATGAATAAATTTATAAATAAATATAAATAAATATATAAATATAAATAAAATATATAATTATGAATAAATATATAAATATAAAGAAATATATAAATACAAATATATAAATACAAAATATATAAATAAATATAAATATATAAATATAAATAAATATATAAATATAAATAAATATATATAAATATAAATAAATATATAAATAAATATATATAAATATAAATAAATATATAAATAAAATAAATATAAATAATATATAAATATAAATAGATATATAAATATAAATAAATATATAAATAAATATGTATAAATATAAATAAATATATAAATATAAATAAATATATATAAGTATAAATAAATATATAAATATAAATAAATATATATAAATATAAATAAATATATAAATATGAATGAATTTATAAATAAATATAAATAAATATATAAATATAAATAAATATAAATAAATATATAATTATAAATAAATATATAATTATAAATAAATATATAAATATATAAATAAATATAAATATATAAATATAAATAAATATATAAATATAAATGAATATAAATAAATATATAAATATAAATAAATAAATATATAATTATAAATAATTTAAAATTTGGCCCCGACAACTCTCTTATATCCGGGTTACACTGTAATCTAAGTGCTATATTTGGAAATCCACAAAGGTGTATAAATAAATATTAATTTTAAGATTGGTCAATGAAAATTTGTCAAAATTCTATTTACCAAATTTGTTCCATGAAATTCTCTTTTGGGTTTTTGTTGGTCGGCAACTTTTTATAGAGATTCTTTCGGATGGATATAATAATCCTCGAATCAAAAGCCGGAGTTGATAACAGCAATTTGTTTTCACCAACTGACAACCCTTTTCCAAAAACCTATTTTTACAGGGGCTAACACCTAATTTGCATATTTCTAGATGTTTCTAGAATCATCTAGATTTTTCTTGAATATACTAGAATGATATAGAATCTTCCAAACATTCTATTTCAAATTTCTCTGTTTTATATCTATTTCATGAAAGAAAACTTTTTTGTATTAACAGGTAGGACTCAGTAGAATCCCTTACAATAAATTTTAACATTATTGAGACTTTCTTATTATAGAAATGCATCCTCGTAACAGTCCTCATCTTCGTTGTGGATTAAAGTGTAGGGGGGCAGTACCCCTATTATTTATTTTGTGAAGAATAAAAATTCCTGACGTCGGACAAGAGAGGAAAAAATAAGATGAACACGTATTCAATCTTTGACATGAATTAAAGTAAATTATATTCACAAAAATTTACATTTAGGTTTGTAAGAATCAGTGAGTTGGGCGAAGGTTTGTGAACATTCATGTCCTGTTTCTTGATGTATGTGGCCGCAACGGTATTTAGTCAACCCCCCCCCACACACACGTGGGCATCATGTGGCACAAGGCCGGTTTAACGTGGGATCTCCGAGCCCGTGGACTCGGCCAAAAATATGCCCTTTTAAAACCCGTATAAACGGGTTCAGGGTCGGTTTGCCTCCCCGAAAGAGAATCCGCTCTTCGGCGTAGCCTCGTTCGGGTTCCTCCCCGCCCGAAGGCAGAGAGTTCAACCGGTCGTCCGACTTCAGACTGAACTCAGTATGTGGCCGCAACGATATTTAGTCACCCCACCACGAGGGCATCATGTGGCACAAGGCCAATTTAACGTGGGATCTCCGAGCCCGTGGACTCGGTCAAAAATATGCCCATTGAACCCGTATAAACAGGTTCAGGGTCGGTTTACTTCCCCGAAAGAGAATCCGCCCTTCGGCGTAGCCTCCTTCGGGTTCCTCCCCGACCGAAGGCAGAGAGTTCAACCGGTCAGCCGGTCGACCGACATCGCCGCAACTGACTGCTTCCTCGCGGGAAAAGGTTTTTATAGGGTTTTGAACAACCCCACGATTTAGCGGCAAAAAAGGTTACACTAACCCCTGCCCTGATTGGCCGAATCTATCCAATCAGCGGACATTTAACATATGTGAGCATATGTGAGGATGTGTGGGTATATGTGTGTATGTGTGTGTGTGTGTGTGGACGTACAGTTCCACAAAAGTGTGGTTTGTGAATTTTGTTGATATAGTGGTTGTGAGTTCAATCTCTTGATTGGGCAGAGTGCAGTGGAAATAGGCACACAACAACTGAGCAGTATTAAAAATAACAACTAGACAATGTATCCCTAGACATGAGCAGTGGGTCGAGAACAGTATACCCACGCAGATTAAATAAAGGGTTCAGTTCAGAATTCTCTGTAGTTTACCCAGATCAAAGTATACCTGAGGAAGGCCTGAGGGTATAACGGCCGAAACGTTGTGACAACAACAACAAAGATGAGAACAATAGTCCAAGTATAAATGGCGTAAATAGCATTTTTTTTACCTACGACCCTCCACCTTGGTCATACAATCCATGCTATTCTTCATCAATATGACATTAACAGAAATGGTATGTCTTGTTACTAACCTACTCTTGAATTCAAATTTTTATACATATTGCCATTTTTACTATCAATCAGGCCATCGAATAAACATACTAGAAATTAGCGACATTTTAACAATTGACTTAAAATATCCTTTTTTTTTAAAGTTTATTCCATTATCTTTCAGGCTACCTTTACTAACAGTATTTTATTATTAGTGATGAAAATAATCAACTCTTGGTATGGTGGATCTCCTGGCTTTATTTCAACATTACATAATACACGAGAGACAAAGACTATACGTAAGCCACATAATCAACAATATTTTTCAAAAACTATGACAATGCTTACCAATTAAATATGTTGATGAATGATATTTTTCTTGTTCCAGAGTCTCGCAACACTGTAATGACTGCCACAGATGATAACTTATTCTTTGCAGAGCATTCCTCCAAGCCTGGGTTTCTCTGGAGAGTGGTTTTGCTTTTTGGCACATCTTGGGTGCCACTTTCTTCTTCAACTGCATCTGACTTATCTTGGCAATCAATTTTCTCCAGTTCTGACAGCTCCTCAAGGTTCTCTACGTTCTTCTGCCAAATGGCATCAAAATCCACGTTATTTTGTTTGGCTGCAAAATGCACTATTTTTTTCCCTTCTTCTAATCTTCCCTTGGCAAAGAACCATCGAAAAGATTCTTTAATATACCTGTTTTATTTATAAAGAAGAATCAAAGAAACACAACGGGCCGATGAGAGAGAATTCCATAAATTGCAGAAACTAAAAGAAAATCTAAACTGTGAAGGTTTGTTACATTAATGAAAAGAAAAAATACATGCATACTTTTTTTCACATACAGTTTTCACTTTTTTTAAAAAAAAGAAAAAGCAACAAGTTTTTTTTTCTTTTTTTTTTTTTTCGTTGGCTCTGAGGAATGGTCTTGATTAATATGGAACAGTCATAAAAGTATTCCATAGAAAGAACATAATTTATTGGTTACTTTTTTCTTCTGCTTTATAACCGTATTTTTTTTTTTTTTTTTTTTTTTTTTTACAAAAGTCAATAAATCGATTAATCAGGAAACTGCTCAAGGAATCTGTCGAAAGGAGCAAAGAAGAAAATGCAAAGGAGAAAGAAGGCTGACTTCAAGAAGCAATAAATAAAAAAAAAAAAGAAGTCAACGAAGGCGTTAATAAAAAGGACGTAAAAGAATTGAAGAAGAGTAAACAAGATAAAAAAAGAACAAAACAGAAAACTAAAAGTATAAAAAAAAAATATTCTTTTAAAAATAAATTACAAAAAAAAAAATCCTGCCTAATCAACTGATTAAGCAAGTCAGAAATTAAAATTTGACCATAGCCCATTGTATCTGATTGTTTTAAGATACATGTTTTACGCACTTTTTAATATCAACCCAGTCCAGAGAAAGAAAACTCGAAGATATGGACGTTTGTAACCTCTTCCTTCTGTGCTATCTATATGAATAAATCCAAATAACAGTGTGTCACCATTTTTCAATTAAAGGGACATAACTCTCAATAGCTCATCATCTTTTTCTATATAATAAATGCCAATGTCAGTGTGTCGCTCTTTTTCCACTTTTCCTATAGGCCGTAGCCCAACATATATCATTTTGGAATCAGGTCAACTCTTAAAAATATTCCAGGTCAGATCTGGACACACAATCCTGAAATTTTGAATTCCCAAGTTTTCATTCCTCTGTTTGTTTTCAGATTCCACCATCTTGTCTTCTACTGATAAAAACAATTAAAGGGACACAGATCTTTAACTTTCAATGTCTCATGTTAAAATGAAAAAAAAATTACTGTTCTTAAATTACGGTGTTTCAAAATAAAATTCTTCGTATTTTCAATTTTTACTCCTAGAGACCATAGCCCAACATATCATGTGCTTTTGGCATGAGGCCGACTCCATGAGCAAATTAAAAACATTCTAGGCCAGATTCGGACCCGTAATCCTAAAATTTTAGATTCACAAGTTTTCATTACTGGGATTGTTTTCAGCGATATTTTACGTGATTTTTTTGCAACAAAATTTTTGTACGATAACAATTTTTATAACTTGAAAATAAATTTGAGAATAATCAAAACTAATTGCAAAATCTAGGAAAAATCTCCGATGAAATAAAAATAATTGCTGGTACAGAAAGTAAGAACATTAAATGCACATCAAATTGTCTTTAAATTAAGTGGCGACAGAAGAATCATCGTTGAACTTTTAAAAGGTAAGCTTAAATATTAATGCAGTACTTAAATTCAGTGATCAATTTTGAGTTTTTCTGTAGTTTATAGTTGCCTATCGCATACGGCAGCAGTATGTCTCGCCAAAAGAAATCTTCGCCAAAAGAGGACCAGATTGCAATCAAAAGATCCAAGGCTGCATCGAGGAAAAGAAAGTCCTTTGAAAATGAAAACCCAAATCAAACACCAGCCAGGAGAGCTTCCAATATATGCAACAGCCAAAGATTTAGGGACTCTTAAACTCCTAAACAAGCTGAAGGCCCAATCAAGAGCCCTCCGCAGAAGATAGCTTAGTTGCTATTCAATAGGGCGGCTTTTAAGTTAGTGTAAAATAATTGCAGTTTTGTTCCTTTTCATTGCATAGAAAAGAATTTCACTATTTGTCACTGTTGAGGGGTCCACCCCTTTTTACACAAATGGACTCACCCAGTGTATACTTATACTACTGCCAGTGAATACCCGACTGCAAGACCCAAGAGTCGAATCCAGAGTGACAGAGTAAAAGATTGTAGGTAACCGGAAGAGTGAGGGGTGAGGTAACAGCGATGTAGGAGTCACAGTGAGCGAGCACGTAGACTCAATAAGAAGTCATATTTTTAAAGCATTACGCCCCGAGCAAGGCGTGAAGCCACTAGGATGCAGGGGGTTGCAGAAGATTTGGAGCAAGAGCAGATAGGAGTGATAGAAGAAAGGATGAGGAGAGGGAGAGTGGATAGATCAAGATAACTGGAGATGTCGATTGACATTACATTTGAATAGTTGGAGATTCTAGCTCTCAGGGAAACAGTAATTGGGAAGGGTGTTCCACAGGCGAGAGGTGCGAGGTATGAAGCTATTGGAGTAGAAGAGACGGCTACATTTAAAAGTTTCTACAGTGTAAGGGTGGGAGCGGGATGCCAGCCTCGTAGGGCGCTTGAATTCATGGAGTCTGGGAACCAGTGAAAGCAGCTCATCGGAGCAATTACCATGAAAGTATTTGTAGAAAAGACAGAGAGAGGCGACGGCGCGTCTGTGAGCGAGTGACTGTAGACAATATGCCAGATCAGGGGCAATTAGATTACATATCCGTCTCTGGATCTTGTCAAGAACTCCGAGGTAAACAGAAGGTGTCCCAGACCATATATGGCAGCAATACTCCATGCAAGGGCGAATGGTTGATTTGTATATTTGAAGTATCGATTCCGTGGAGAAAAATTTCCTTGCACGGCACAGAGAGCCAACTTTCCTCGCGGTGGAAGAAGCAATTGACTCAATGTATTTGTTCCATCTCAGGTCAGCAGTCAACGTGAGACGGAGCAGACGCAGGGAGTTGCTCTCAAGAAGTTGATTATCAGACATTCTAATGGGGGTGGGCAGGGAAGGACCTCTATGGTGATTAATAGAGAGTAGTTTAGAGACAGCGATACTTCAATATCAAAGACTGTATATATATATTTTGCTACTAACCCGTATTCCTGGAACTACTAACCTGCTTTACCAATCTGTATTATGACGTTAATACGTTATTTTCCTATATTCATTCCTGGCGTTTGTTATTTATTGGTACCTGATTTCAACCCGGAATCCACAACAGGCACCAAAAAAAAAAAAATAATTTTATATTCTATGAAGAGTTTAAGAAGAATTCAACCAGCAGATGCTATAAAGTTTTATTCTTTTCTCCAATGCTTTTTTTTTACTTTCAAATCCTACATCAACTGTTCATCACGTAGAGAGCTATTTCCGAAACAGAAATCTAAAATCACAACAGAAATAATACATAGTTAAATCACTGCCACTCGGCATTTATATTTGATATGTTTCTCATAGAGTAGAGGAAAAAAAACTGTTTTTCAATGTTAGCACTGCATTAATATATTTAAATGACAGTATAATTGATATATAATTGATGTATAATTGATAAAAATATTAACAAATCAGTCAATTTTAGTTTCTTCTTATTATGTCATAAGGGTAATTTTTTTTATTAACCTATTTGTATTCAATTTCTTATAGCGTCTTTTGGACAAATTACACTGTAAGTTTTTAAACTGCCATCAACAAATAGTTGCATAATACATTTCAGATGCATCAAGGGTAGTCTTCAGTGATGCACTATCCTCATTTGATTTCGGATTTTGCATAATATCGGCTCAAACAACAACCCCGACCTGATTCCAGAAGAGTCAGGCCGCCTCCTTGATAGTGTCGTGCTATGCACCTCGATACTAGAAAAAAAAATTCAAATATGGCTAGGAGTCCGACCATTCTTATTAACACATGCCAGTCAATGTCAGCCAATAAAATACAAAATAAAAACAGTTTTATCTTTTAAGTAATTTAACTGCATTTGAAAAGGACACGTCTATGAAAAATGTGTGGCATTAGAAATGGTTTCTAAGCACAATCATATATGCATTATAACGTTATGGTTTAGAATGATTGCAAAGATGTCTTCGTATGGTTAATAAATACAATGGATTAAGGAAATGAAAACCATCCAAGCAAAATAAAAAATAAAACGTCATAAAAGAAAAGACGTAAGGAGGTTGGAATTAATGGGTGGTGAAGTTAATATTTCTTTTGACTTAATATTGAGTTTCCCAAAATAAGAATTTGATAAAATAAAGAAATCAATATGTTAATGTCAAAATTAAAGAAGAGATTTTGTCATATGAAAATAAATGTCAAATGCCAGATTTGCAATTAGCAGATTGTCGTACACTGTGCTTTTAAGGAAAATACTCTCCAGCGACTACAAAACTGTGCTTTTCAGGACAATGCTCTCCAGTGACTACAAAACTGTTTTTAAGGACAATACTCTCCAGCAACCCCCAAACTGCTTTTCAGGATAACGCTCTCCAGCGATTACAAAACTGTTCTTTTAAAGACATTACTCTCAAGAACGCCCAAAACTGCGTTTTTCAGGACAATGCGCTCCTGCGACTACAAAACTATGTTTTCAGGACAATGCTCTACAGCGACTACAAAACTGCGTTTTTCAGGGCAATGCTCTCCAACGACTACAAAACTGCGTTTTTCAGGACAATGCTCTCCAGTGATTACGAAACTGTGCTTCTCAGGACAATGCTTTCCAACGACTACAAAACTGTGTTTTTCGGGACAACATTCTTCAGTGACTACAAAACTGTCCTTCTGAGGACAAAGGTCTTTCTCACCCTCTACATGAGCATGCAGAAATATTTTTTTGCCTAGTGCACTGTAACTTTATTTTTTTTATGTATTTTCTTTAACGAAAATAAACTTGTCAATATATATTTTTACTCAAGTTTTCGTTTTGTTTGTTATTTTCTTTTGTCATTCAATATCTGTTTGCATGTCAGCATACCACCCACAAGAAGATAATTTAATAAGCACATTCACTTTAATACTTCTCATTACACTGTTCTACAAGAACAAGACAATTTTTTTAATGGTTGCAAGGGATTCACTTTGTAGTCAAGATTA